CCACTCTTTTCACTGTCACTGGCCTGCAGGACAGGTACCTCTGTCACCATCCCCAGGCCTCTCCTCTCCTCTTCTCCTCTCCAGGTGTACAGGGATTTGTCATTCCCACTTGCTACTGCGTGTCAGTCCCTGGGCTCTGTCTTTTCTGTTTCTTTCAATTCTGAATGCCACTTATTTCACATGCTCTAAGAAGTTTATCTTAAATACCTTGCAGTTAGTTTTCAGTCTGAAATGAGTTTTGACAGTATTCTGATAGGTGCCTATTGAAATTTTTTTCAACTGGAAAAAATGTACTTAAAAAAATTAAATCCAGTCATTTCTTGCAGCATTTAAGAAATCCTAAGCCTTTAAGATTATGCCTAATGTTTGGAGAGCATGAACACTTCTGGTGGTGAAAACCCCTAACAGGCTTTCAGATGCATTTTGCTAAGCTGAGAACATCCAGTGCTGCCTTTTATATAGCGTGTGGGTGTTGCTCAGGCCTTGAGATCTAGGAGACCAGGGACATCTAATGCACATGGAGGGAGAAATGTGCCACCTTTGGGGCAATATTCTGCTTTCTCAAACAGGGCTCCAAAAAAGATTCACTTAGGAGTGGGACACTGAAGGCAGAGTGGTTCAGACTGCTTCACATTGCAGTTCATGTTAACATCTCCTTCACCTTGGCTTACTAAAAGTTTCAGAAGATCCAACCCACATGCTTGTGGCTCAGAGGAGCGAGTGGTACATCACCACTTTTGCTGCTCTCTTAGTGGGGCTCATGGTATTAGGGGCAGGTTGTGTTCAGGGTTCAGACCCACTGCTGAATGAAATGGTTCTAACAGCATCTATTGTTGGGCATGAATTGAAAACTGAAGTCTATCCACTCTTTAAAACTATAAGAGCGAGCAGATGCTGTTCTTTGTGACCCCCAACGTGAAACCTGGAAAGCTGTATGGGGGTCCATGGTGCGTCTCTAGATTTGTAGCCCTTTGACACAGAGGCTGGTTTCAGACTGGCATGATTTTGCTCTTGTGACTTTTGTCACAAGATACCGGTTTGTGTAGTCCTGGCATGTTGTTACAACTCCTGCTTGTCACGGGGAAGTTGTGTTATGTTGTGGAATGGGAAACTTGCAGTGCCCTTGAACATGCTCTCGTATATTAGCCTTCTTTCAAATATTTATTTGTTTGCAGTTTTATTTCAAGGAATTACTTCACCTTTGTTAGGTGACTGATAAGTCAGGTTGTGGCAGAGAAGGAGCCTGGGACACACTCTCAGTTAATGGAGTCTTGCCTGATTGCTGTGAAATCAGGAGGACTTTTGCTTATTTTGCTGGCTAAAACTCTGGGTTTGTGAGTTTCATTCAATTCTTTTACATAAAGAAAAAAAATTTGAAACCTACTGCAAGGGCCCCAGCTGTATTGTACCAGTATTGCTGGTAGCAAATGGTGAGGACGTCAGAATGTGTAGTAGTTTAAACGAGGGGATGGGAGAAGGCTGGAGTCCTGGTCCAGCCCAATGAGAACAAAAACTTTGAGCAGATGATTTATTTTATTTTCAGCTGGCCAAGCAAGGACAGCAATGTATCGCACCAGCTTGTGTTGCTAAAGTGTCCTTTTCCTTGTCTAAGTCCAGTCTTAGGTGTTTGTGTTGCCATCTGAAGTTGCATGGTGTGTCCTCCTTTTTGGAGTGAACATGCTGGCCTGAAGGTGTTGAGCAAAGGCCTTTGTATTTGACCCATTACTTTGTAACTTCTCCAAGTATTTGTAAGGTGCGAAACCTCATTATTAAATAGTTGCACTTTTTAAAAATTAAGATATTTTCTGGTCTTTACCCGAGCGTGTTCATCATGCAGGAGTTATTGCTGTGTAAGAGCATTTGGGAGAAAGAAGGGGGTCTCCTCCCCATTTGTATTATCCGCCTGTGGAAGCTGATCTTGGGGTGGTTTCTTCTGTTCCCGTAGAGCATGGTTGCCCTGCGTTTCAGCTGTCTGCATGGGGGGCACTCATCCTGCAGGCATCGGTCTGGTGTGGGTTTGACCCATTCTCACGTAGCGGTGCCAGCCTGTCACAGCAAATAAGCATTCCTCTAACATCCTTCCCGTGGGGTCAGGCAGGACCCTACAGCTCCGTAACACTGCTCCAGCAGGTGCTCTGGACAGGTGCGGTGTTGTTATCAGAGCCTGATAGGGCTGTGGGCAGTTTTGGTGACTCCATTACTGCATTTTAAAAGGGCACAGTGTCCTATGGAGAGGTGCAACAGCTATTATCACAGCCAAGTTATCCAGTAAAATTAGAGCACTGAGATATGCAAACAGGTTAAAATGTGGGTGCCTTTGTGCTGCACAAGTTTGTTTGGGTGAGTGACTGCTAGCAAAAAGTTTGAGCTACAAAAGTCAGATCTGGATGCAAAGATGGCATGAATTGAATGTATATTCACTGGTAGCTGCTTCTTTTTACATATATTCACCCCTATAAACTATCAAAGAGGTGTGGAGAAAAAGCAAGACTGGAAATGACCAGAAAAAGAGTTTTTCATATTTTTCTATGGATCCCTTCACTTTATGTTATCTCAAACAATTGATTATATCCCTCAATATGTGTCTTGTTTCAGAAATGGCTGTGACTTCGTATATATTTCAGAGAAGCTGAAAAATTTAGGAATGGAATTTTTTACAGTAGGTGTTTATTTTTAGTTAGTCTACCTATAGAAAAGGGATATAGCAGAAACAGAGAAGCAGCTAAGAGATGAGCAATGCAGAAATCCAGTGACCTGAAAAATTTCTGCCAAAAGAGAGGCTGGGATGGTTTGCTTTGACCATCTGTCAACGGTCTTGTCCCTACAGACCAGCATGACCCACCTGGGGAGGTGGAGTGGAGCAAGGTTAAGTCGACCACTTTTGCTGGCTCTGGCTCATAACCATTTGTGATAGTGAACGGTGTCATGTTTGCAGTGATAAAGGAAATACTTCTTTGCAAATTACCTAAGCTGAAGAACTCATCAGCAAAGTATCACTAAACCCAAAGGCTTAACGGGGTTCTAGAGGGGCGGTAGCAGAGAACACATGTGGTTTGGAAAAAAGCTGGTAATACCAGAAGGGATTCAACCTCCTGTTCTTTGGGGTATAAGACAGCCTCTAATTAAACAGGTCTTAGGACGTAACCTCAGAAGATTCTCTCTGCGGGGCTGCTGCAGCTTTTGTTGTCTTCTGACCACCCAGTCTGGGCTGTGGGGAGAGACAGGGTGCACTACCCCGGGTCAGTAGCGTGCCCAAAGGGAAAAGATCAGGCTGATGTGAACCCCTGCATCCCGACTTTCCCTGTGTCAAGCTCCCCCTTCCATGCAGTCCGTTCCTTCTGAAGGCTTCCCTCTCCGACCTGCCTGCTCAGGTGAACCTCTACTTTTTCTTGGTGCTCTGCACCTTATTTCTTGTCCTCCGTGTGTGAGGAACAGAAGGAATATCTTCCATATTCCACATAATTTTGAGCATCAAATCACTCCCTGTTGGTTCATTTCTCCCTTAAAGCATGAATGGAAGTGTTGAAAGGTAACAGCCCTATTTGGTCTGCCTGCTCTGTTCTGAAGGGATAGCACTGTTGCTGAAAATGGGAGAAAAAGCCAGCAAGGAGATCAGAGAAGACCAGAGTGACTGATGCTGAAGCTGAATTAAAATATTCTCATCAGAAACCAGGATTTTAAGTTCTGTTGGTAGTTATTCAAGCTCGCCTTGATGATGTGCCATTAGAACTTTGTGTAGCTACAAGCAAAAACTGCCCCAAAGGCTGGGAGGAATAGGGTCCAAGCTTTTTATTACAAAGTCAAGAGTTACACTAGAGGTGTAAGCATTATTTTATAGTAGCTATGTTAAGACATAACTGTCAGCAATTAATTTGTGTGAAGAATGTATATAATTAGTTTCTATAGTTTGCATGTTTGAGGAATAGAGTTTTTAACCATACTGTTTAGTCATGCATCTTTTCAGTGCAAACTGGGACATTGGTAAGGTCATATTTGCTTTTGTGCATCCCTGAGTCTATCACAGAATAATCCTTTATTCTGTTGATACTCTCCAGATCTACAAGTATCTTCTCCCAAACATATGTGCATAATATAGTGTGTATGTGCATACAAGGAAAAGGAAGCAGATGACTTGTGTTCAGTATAATGAGTGTTTTGTGCTTGAACTGCTGCAGGCTCCCTGTTGAAAAGAAACTCACGCATCCATTCATTCATGAACAAAGCTGCTGTCGTGACCGTGTTGATTGTGCACTGACTCTTTGTGTAGTGCCTTGGTTAGAGAAAGACGTAATCTCCTCCCTGCTTCATAGCCTTTCTCACTCTTCGCTTTCCTCACCGTAATCATAGCGTGCTCATCAATGCCTTCGTGACAAGTGGGATCTCAGCTGAGGTTCCCATCACTGGAGGAGAGGGGAGAATGGGTGGTGGTTGGTTGAGGAATCTGGGTGGGTTATTGCTGAGTGATGCTGGAGTATAAATTAGCAATGTATGTGTCTGAGCTGGCACTTAACACAGATGGATAGGACAGCATCCAAAGACACATGGATTGATGGAGTTGCTGTTGCAAAGGAGGAGTGAGAGAAATGGTCAAATTGCGTGGGAGTCCTCTGGAAGTGGGAGATTTTTCCCTAAGTGTGACAGCTTTGAGACAGCAACTTCACATATGCTTTGCTCCAGTTTTGGAACCAATTATTGCCTTGTCTTCTGATGTGTGGCCTCAAGATGGCCTGTGATTTCAGTGCTGAGCTGCAGTCTCCATGTCGTGCTCTATACTATCAGACTGTCCAGATGGGAGCCTTCAGTATCCTCATAGCCTTTTATTGTTCAAGATGCTCTAGAAACTCTTAGTGATTTACAGTGTGGGGATTTAACTAACTTTTACTTTGATTTATAGTTCCCCTCTGAAGTACTCTTGCTTTTTTTTTTTTTGCATTGAAAGTTTTTTACTTATTAGTGACAGCAGATTTGAAACCCCATTTTTTTCCTCATTCTGCTTTCAGATTCCATAGGTGGGTCATTTTCAGCTTCCTCCCACCGATGCCACCACAAGCAGAAGCACTGTCTCCCCATCCCACAGTGTGGGGCTTTGTCCATCAGCCCTCTGCTTTTCCATCCTCACACGAAGGGATCCCAGATCATCATGGACACAACGCAGAAGGCGGTGAAGCGCCAGGCTAGCTTCTGCAATGCCATTACCTTCAGCAACAGGCCCATCGTTATTTATGAACAAGTCAGGCTTAAGGTGAGTAAATGATACCTTCCCTTATTGCCATGGGAGCTGCTGTGAATGAATGTTGGGGTGTACCAGGCTTCAATGCTTGCAGCAGATCTTTAGCCCTTCCTTGAAAAGCACAGTAGTCAGATCTTGGCCTTAAATATCTGAAATCTTTGTTAGCACTTCTGCTTTTGTCACTGTAGTTCTTGGAGCCATTGGTACAGACCGCTGTAGAAACTGGGAACAAAAGGGAAATCCATGCTCTAAAGGAGCTTGTCTTGATGTTAGACAAGGAATAACAGATTAAGTTGAGGCTGCTTGGAAAACAGCAAGATAAAAGTGCTGTAGTGATCAGTCCGAAAGGCAGCAGGTTCTGTACCTCTCTAGCAAATGTGTCCTCTAGGCTTTGCATGCATCCTGCAAAGGAGTTTTACTGGGTGGGCTGAGGGAGGCTGAGGAGTTAGTTAACACGTTCAATTCCATAACAAGCACTTTTCTTCCTGTAAACAAGGCAGCAATGAGGGCTGGTCTCATGGAGGTGGGAGTCAGCCTCGCCACAGCCACCAGATGAGAGGTGAAAAGGACCTGGAAGTGAAGGTGCTTGCTCCTGTGCTTGGCAGGGAAGATAAAAGGGTTTGGCTGAAAGGATGAAAGAAGCAATCAGTGCAGTAACAGTTGCTGTCTAAGAAAAGGATCTTTCTGGCGGTCTGCTGACTGCTTTGTTGAATCAGTTGGCTGATAGCATTAAGGTCAGAGGAGAGAACATTGTAGGCATCACATTTTTCTCACTGGTGGAGGTTGATTTCGCTTCCTTTATGTCTATGGTGGCCAGGAGGATGGAGTTGGTACCCCTTGTGCTGCAGCTGGCATGGGAAGTTCAGCTCCCCTAAGACAGCATGCCTCCATGTGCACTGCGAGCTGCTTTCCAATGAAGAAATTCATTAGTCCCCTGAGGAACTGAAGCACTTTTTAGGCTCTCAGCACCCTGAAGGAGCTTGGGACCTTTTAAACTTCATCCACAGATATTTTCCAACCTTAATGCTCTCTAGTTTGTTGGACTGCATTTTTCTGTTCTGAGCTGATTTTATGCCTTTCATTGGCATGAGGTCATCTGCTTTGGCAACTTTAGTTCATGGCACACATGAAAGATCTGCCTGCAAGTCCTTCATTTACACACAAGCAGTTTTCCAGGAGGTTTATCTGCATGTAGCTGCTGAGTCTGAATGAACCTCCTGTTGCCCATTGCTAGAGGTCCCGGAGTGCTGGGACCTACAGCAGCATATCAGCCCTCCCTGCCTCTTCCCTTACAGCCAACAAAGGAGCAAGAAATGAGGAAGATGTCTCCTTTTGAAAACATAGAGATTTCAGTGATTTCAGGCTCAGGCCCCTAGGTAGAAAATCCCTCCTACAGGTTTGTTATGTTTCCTGTGGAGCTCATACTGCTTTCATTCAGGCTAGAAACCCAGAAGGATGCACTCATGTTGCCTAATGGGATTTTTTCCCACGTTGGCCAGCAGCTTGGACAAACAACTGTGAAAAATTATTTGGGAGGAGATGAAAACAGCATTTTGTTTTTGAAAACACCATTAGAGATTTGAGTGGGTTTAGTGCTTTAGGCAAAGGTGCTGGGTTATTTCTTCCTCATTCTGAAACAATATATATATTTCAGGATTTTTAGCTTGCAAAACATATGTGAAGAATATGCATACAAATCTGCACAAGGGATTTATAAGCAGAGCTCCTGCTGAGTCCAATGGGAAGGTCTCATGGGAGTAATCAACAGGCTTCAGAAGAACTTGTACTCTAGGGATGGATGGAAATGTGAAAACATCTTTGCTTTTCTGATAAGTCCATCCTGTAATTGCCTTGTTATTGTGTGTGCCTGTGGAAAATGACATCTTAAACCTTCTTACCAGCTAAAGACTAACCATGAACCCAATCATTCAGGTCCTATAAAGTCTAAACTCCCTTTGGAAAAACTAGAGGAAAGAAGTCAGCAGATTTGATTCTGTTTGTTAGGTATTGTATCTTGGGTTTTATTCTGAGATTTCATTGCAGCTTTGGGAATGCCATCAAGCAGCCAGGTTTCCTCTTTCTTTGCCTCTGAGATATATGTCCCAGTATGGTTTGTTCCATGTAATTCAGGGCACTGCTAGGGAGTGGAGTGAGGTTGTCAAAGGTGACACAAAGCACAAGGCAGCAAAGAGCAGGAGCCTGAATCTGTGGAAGCAACCATGGCTTAGCAGATTGGATGTAGATTGTATCTTTTCCTCCCGTTCTGGTACCCAGTGACCCTCCCAAGCTTTTCTGCTAGCAGTGGCTGCTGAAGAGAGAATTTTGTCTATCATTAACCATTGCCTTTTTTAGCAAAACTGTGTACCCTTTGTCCAGCTGTGTCTAATTCTTGGCAGGCTTTATACTAAATTTTAATTTGGGTATTAGTTTGCCTGTGGTCAGACTGTATTGAGAACTGTTTATAGGTGCTGATTAATACATGGAACATGTGCAGCCTCAATTACCATATGAATATTTACTTCATGCGGCCTGTGATTGCTGTGAAGTATTGGCAAGAGACTGTGAAAGAGTAAATTCTACAAATAACAATGAAGCCGTATTTATCTCAGACCCAAAACCGTTTAGGGCTTGCGGTAAATGTGCTGCAATAAATAATTCAGGCTTCTTCTTGGAGTGTGCGTATAGTCCGCATTTTGTGACGTACATGCCCCATCCACCCCACTTCCACTGGGGACATGCATGATCCCATCCCATCCTGGCCAGGCATATAAAATAACAAATCTGCTTCAGTCCTTTTTAGTGCCACTCCAGTGTCCATCCCACAAGCAGGAGCTTCCCATGGTTCCTGGAACTGAGGTTCAGTGCTCAAGTGTTTCATATAAACAGTTTAGGTGCTTGGCTGGACTGAGTAGGGGTAAAGAGCAGCACTTGCTTAACTGAGGAACTGTCTGTTGATAACTTTTTTCTGAAACTCTGACTTATTTTCTCTGATACTTTAATTATGAAACAGAAATCTTTACGCTTTGAACCATGTCTTTGTTGTGAGATTGTTTTGCCCCCAAGGGCACAAGTTCCAGATTTGCCTTGGCGTGTAACGTGAAAGAAATATGCAATATTTACAAATGTGATTAGGAGAGAATTCAGAAGTCCTAAGAAAATGTCTTGGAGAATCCCTTTGTGAAAATCCTGTGATTCCAAGCTGGGACACGAGGGGCTGCTGCCAGGCTTTTGAGGACAAAGTCCTGCAGTCCCAGACAGTTCAGTTTCTGGCATTGCCTGAGACATTAGCACTTTGGCAGAGCAAGAAATTGCAGTAAGGTAGCAAGTTTTGTGTGACATCTGGTAGGTGGTACCTATCCTTGTTTCTGCTCTTGTCCTGCAGCCAAGAGTGAAACTGCTCAAGGCTGCCAAGGCTTTGATGGAAGAAGGCTCTCTCAAGTGCTCTCATGTTTGCTGCAAGTTCAGTGCATGAACAGAAACACCAGATATGTGTCAACTGGTATGCAGGAACTGTCCTGGCCCCACATCAGGATTGGATCCGCCATCCTTAGGTCTTTCCAAAGTCTGGATGCTGACAGGCTAAATCCCTTTGAGAGGAACAATTCCCAGCAGGGGAAAAAAATTCTCCAAGGGCATCGTCTCCATCTGGAGAACATACTAACCCTGGAAGACTCCTGCTTCCATGGGAAGAAAGAGACCTTGTCACTGGGTTGTGTTTTGGATATGCCACACGTGTTTAGGACCTGCTGCCTGGTCCCCTCAGATCCCCTTCAGTCCAGGGCTCAGTTCATGTGAGAAGCCGCCGATGACTCTGGAGTCATCTGTGATCCTTTGTCCTGCTGTCTGTCAGGTGCAGAAGAGTGGATATGACACATGCACCATCCCTAAAACTATAGCAGATGTTCCTGACTCCAGACACACTGAGTAGCCATGTACTGATAGGTGGGGTGTAGATGTGCACAACATATCTTGAAAAACAGCACTCACAGCTGAAATAAATAGGTTTTCCCCAATCGTAAGACAACATCTATGGTTGCATCCTAATTGTGTATTTAATACAGTTAAATAATTTAAATTGTGCTTTCCCAGATACAAGTTCTCTGCTGCAAGGCTATGATTTCATCCAATCTGAAAAGCTAAACAGGGGTAAGACTGTCTTTTACCTGGGTGGGAAACCCAGAAAACCCTATGGTGGTGACTGTGATTCTGGAGCCAGTGCTTTTCCCTCAGGTCATGAGAGGCCCCATCATCTGAGCACCACAGGGGAAGAGCTCTGCTGCTGCAGGTGCTGAGATAAAAGCTCTTATGGCCATTTTTGGCACATTTTGTGAAAGGATGATTCTTAGGCCAAAAGGAATTACCCTAGATATAGAAGTGAGTCATCATGCAGCTGTAATTACATTTCACCTCTCCACATCATAGATTTAATTTGATTTTTTTTTTAAATACGTGCATTGTATCCTAAGTGTGCAGCATTGCTGCTTGCAGCTGAAAAAGCTACAGCAGTGTTTGATGGGTAAAATGTTTCCTAAATCTAGTGGGCTCGTCTGCACGGGGGCCAACGCTGGCATAGAGCCTGTAGTGTGTAAGTAGATGTTCAAATGCCAAACTCTGTTATTGCTGCTGTTATCTTTGCAGATCACTAAAAAACAGTGTTGCTGGAGTGGGGCGCTTCGACTTGGGTTTACTTCCAAGGATCCATCGAGGATTAACCCTGACACTCTGCCGAAATACGCATGCCCTGACTTGGTTTCCCAAAGCGGTTTTTGGGCCAAGGCTCTGCCAGAAGAGTTTGCGAACGAGGGAAACATCATAGCCTTCTGGGTGGACAAGAAAGGACGGGTTTTCTATCGAGTGAATGACTCCGCTGCGATGCTCTTCTTCAGTGGGGTGAGGACAGCAGAGCCCCTCTGGGCTTTGATTGACGTCTACGGACTCACCCGCGGAGTGCAGCTCTTAGGTGAGTACCTGGGTCCAAATGCACAGGGATGATGCTGAACCATCCCCGGCGAAGGGCCAGCCTGACACTGCCTGTCCCCCTGGCTGGGCTGGGACAGGCACGGGGAAATGGCCATTGTTCCTCCCCAGAGCATCTCACGACTTCAGTCTGGATCAATGGCTGTTTGAAACTTAGCACATAAATATTACATGGAAGGGAGGTGGGAAATAACGACTATAGTATAGCACTAGAAGCCCTCTGTAAGTAAGTGAATTTCTGCTCAGAGGTGTTGCTCTATCAGAACATAGTCTGGAGTGTGGCATATACCTTGTAAAACTTTCTTTTTATCTCGTCTGCTGCTTCCCGCATGCCAAAGTGGGAAATGTATTTTGTGTGTTATGGATAAATCCTTCCTGGATAGCACTATTATGATTTTCTGGCTGGTTTAATGGGCAAATTTGAAACATGGATATCTTCCAAATTACCTGGGAGAAGCTGCGGCTGGTTTTGCCAGGATGTTGCTTTCACAGACACATTTGATTTGTCCTCTGGAGCCTGAAGGTGGATATACAGTTGGGGTTGGAGGACCAGGAGTGCTGAGTGCTTGTGTCTTCTGCCATCCTCAGCTGAAATGGAGGTAGTTTGGCATTCATGAGGACTCAGTCTAGCCCCAAATGTGCAGGCTGTCAAGGTTTGGGCTATTTGAGTTCATACATCTTAGAAGAACTGGAAAGACTCTTCAAGGACCCACCTTAAGGGGCACCTGGAGGGACCAGACATGTCAGCATGCGGCCTTAGAGTTGGCTTTGCATTGTCACTGGGGGGCAAATCACAGCACTTCTCCATTTAACAGTAGTTTCATGGGTCCAGTTTTCACTATGGAAAAGGTTAGATGGTACCTGCTGACCTTCATGAGCTGAAGTTCCTTCTGAAGATGAGGTGATCTTGCTAGGCTGGGAGAGATCCTCACTTTTTCCTGTCATACAGCCTGATAATCTCTGTTAAAATGACATCTTCATGCTATATATCAAAAACTTTAATGAAGCTTCTTTCTGACAGTTCTGCCTCCTTTCTGCACTGCTTGCTGTATTAAAAAATATGGTGGCAGGACTGCTTATAGCAACCTACACGGCAGGGAAGAGGGGTGTGTGTTCAGGAGGTGAAGAAATGGGACTGACCTCTTCTTGCTTCACAAACTACTGGCCCAAGATTGCACATGGCAGAGGAATGAAACAATTTCTCAGCAGCTTTTTGCTTTCTTTTAGGAGCAGAAAGGTTTATCCTTTGTGAATCAGCTTGGATCGGAGCCACTAGGCAACAGTTCATAGGCCAAGGTGGTGATATTTGAATTGGGATCTAGAATTTGGGCAAATGTCACACCAAGGGTTCAGTTAGGAAGAGCTTACGAATGACTCCAAATCTTCCAGCTGTTCTTGCAAGATTTGGCACCTTGGGACTCCTCCGCCTGATTAACAAGGGCCCATAACTCTGGATTATGTGTTTCTTTTCAAAACACCTGAGAAATCATTTCCTATCCGTCATCCACCCCTGTGTTGTCCTAGCATCTTCCACATCCCCTTTCACAACGTGACTCTTGCCAGCCACTGACTTACCTCTAGTCTAGCAAACAGCTTCTGAGTTGTCACGCTTTAACTCCAGCCAGCAACTAAACCCCACACAGCCGCTCGCTCCCTCCCCACAACAGTGGGATGGGGTGAGAACCAGAAGAGTAAAAGTGAGAAAACTCGTGGGCTGTGATAAAGACAGTTTAATAGGTAAAGCAAAAACTGCACATGGAAGCAACGCAAAACCAGGAATTCATTCACTGCTTCCCATGGGCAGGCAGGTGTTCAGCCATCTCCAGGAAAGCAGGGCTCCATCACACATAATAGTGACATGGGAAAACAAAACGCTGTAACTCTGAACGTGCCTCCCTTTCTTCTTCTTCCCCCACCTTTATATACTGAGCATGATGTCATATGGTATGGAATATCCCTTGGGTCAGTTGGGGTCAGCTGTCCCGGCTGTGTCCCCTCCCAGCTTCTTGTGCACACCCAGCCTCCTCACTGGTGGGGTGGGATGAGGAGCAGAAGAGACCTTGACTGTGTGTAAGCCCTGCTCAGCAGTAACTAAAACATCCCTGTGTTACCAACACTGTTTCCAGCACAAATCTAAAGCATAGTCCCATACTAGCTACTATGAAGAAAATTAACTCTACCCCAGCCAAACTAGCACATGAATTTACATAGTTGACGTGGACCTTAGCTACATATTTATAGCTCATTCCAGCAGCCTTCAGCAGGCTTTAAGCCTAGCAACTGTGCTGAAATGTCTTCAACTTGAGTCTTCTCTCTCTCCATTTGTTATTGCATAGCACTAAAAGAGCAGGGAAATTGTCGGCTGTATTGCCTCTGGATCCTACAGACGTACCCACTGCAATGCTCTGCACGCCTGTTAGTGTAGCAGACCACACATATAGCATAGGACAACTTGCCAAAAACTCCCAGGACTTGACAAATGAATTTCATAGCTTAGCTACAAACATATGGTCGAATTCAGTCTGGTATGGCATGCGGGGCATCTGATGGAGGCTGGGGATGCTGGAGTGGTATGTTGAACAGAAGAGCCTAGCATTTCAGATTCCAGGTCAGTGATTTATTGCTCCCCCAACCCCAAACATATTAGTTGTTCTTGAGCCTCACTATTTTCCCAATGACTGTAATGTTGCAGGGTCACACTGCCTCCATTTTCTTATATGTGTATTTCACCCAAGAATCTGACCAAAAGCTTTACCATTTCTGGTGTCTGTCTTTCTGTTTATTGCAGAATTATTCCCTCCCCACTCCCAATAATGTAACTTCACTTCCAAAATCAGAGTTGCCTGAAGGAAAGATATGCAGCAGTAAGTCTTGTGTCACTGCAGGATTCCAGCTCTGCAGGGGAATGCACAGTGCGCATTTATGTCCTGAAAAGTCACAGCTTCCAAAACTTCACGTTTTTATTTCGCTTATCTGCATTACAGTAGCAGTTCCAGCCAAAATAAGGGACCTGGTAAAGCACGGCAATGACCAAGTCTAGTGACACTGTTCCTGTCTTACAGATTTAATAAAGAGAGGCTTGAACAAAAGGAAGCCCAAAGCTCAGGAGAGTTAAATGATTTGGCAGAGGTTATACAGCAGTGTCACCCAATTCAGGGATGCCATCAGCCTTGTTGCCCAGCTTAGCCCTGCCTCCCTCTCCTTTAGCATCACAGGCATTACACAGCACTCTGGCATCACTAAATCACACCTGTGGATGAAAGAGAAACAGCTGGTTTGTACTTTAATTTCTCATTTCCTTCTGCTTATGGCTTTACCATCAGCCTTGCTGATAATTACCCACATGTCATTACTGCTGTCAATGCACAGGTTTATGTGGCTGTTGCAGATGTTCCTGGGTCCGACTGCCCTTGCTGTATGTTCAGAAGCAGAGCCCTTTAAGCAGCTTCTTTGCCTGCTTGATTTTGTTCTGAAACCAGTAAAAAGGGCTTGTGTGGTCCACTGCATCTCAGCCAAGGGGAGGTCAGGAACTGAGCGTGGACCACATCTTGCCTGTCACTGCTGGACTGAGTCAGAATGAGAGACTGGCTTAAATCCACCTGGAAGGTGGCTTCAGAGATGAGGTTCACAGTTCTTACATACTCGGTCACAGGTGAGAGGCTACTCGTTGTTCTCCTTGCTGCTGCCCACTTTATAGAGATGAAAAGGCTTAAATTCATCTGGGAATCTCTTCTCCTCTGACCACAAGGTCTCAGCTGGTTTCCTGCCTCAATGTAAAGGCCTGCATATAGGGAAGTTGTTGCAATTGAGTGCATGCATGTTCTGTGTTTTAGGGCACAAGTATCGGCATAGATGCCGGCTTATATGACCTGTAAATATGCCCTTATACAGTGACTCTCCTGCCGACATGCTCAACTTGCAGGCAGGATGGTTTACAGCTCTGCTTCCCTTTTTGGGCAGCTAGTTTTGCACAAGTGCACTTTTACATTCCAGGATAATTTAAAATAATATTTACTAGAAATGTGGCTTAGCCTTATGTTATCACTTCGACATATACACATGCTCATTCACACTTTAAAAAGAGTCCAAGAAAAATGGAATATAAGCAATATCTGCTGCCTCGCTGCTATAATAAAGCATCAAAAAAGAAAAGGAAAAGACCAGCTGTTTAAATCCCAGGGTCTTCCGAGACCCTGAGGAAGGATGGCAGCTCATGGGAACCAAATGGTGGTGTCTCACATTAACCTGCTTCTTTCAAGCACTTGGCTAGTGAGCCTAGCATACACTAAGAAATGTTCTTGTACACTTTCTGTGGACTCACTGCAGGACAGAAAGGATGGCACCTTTCGTCAGTGATGTCTAAGTTAAAGTAGAACGTGTGTTTTCAAGATTTTCCTGTATGTTTTGGTGCGGAATTCCAGGTTTACCTGTTGTACGGTCCCTTTTTGAAAATTGCCCCATTTTTTTTGGCAATGACAATGTAGCACAGGATTGCAGAATGGTTAAGATTGGAAAGGACTGATGAAGGTCATCTAGTCCTACCATCTAGTGTCTTTTCTTTGAAAGCATAACACATGTGCTCTAAAAGTATGGAAAAATGAGACTGCAAAGAGATTATGATTTCAGCATACCCCTCTACCCACCCTGTATTTCCAGTGGGGTAATGTGAGGAATGATCGGTTTGCTTTCCTTAGTCCCGTTCATTACTAGTATGGTCAGCAACGAAACCCATATACTGTTTATTACTATGTTCACCTTCTTGTACCATCCATGTGTATTTTCATTCATGCAGTATTTCAAAGTAGTCTTGGTCTTTTACTGTCACAGACTTGGAAAACAAAGGATAATTTTATTTAGATTGGCACACTGACAGGCACCTGTTGAAAGCAAAGCTTCACCACCTCTTGTAAATATAAAACATGTGAAAAACTAGTAAGATTTTGCAAACTGGGAAAAAATTAAATGCATATGTATTAAGTACAG